CTCTAAGTTTTCTTTTCTCCTTTTCTCTCTCTCTTCTTCCTTTCGTATCTCTCTTTTGGATCTTTGTATTTCCTCTCTTTTTACTTTTCTTTTCTTCTTTTCTATTCTCATAATTCACTACATTTCCTCATCTCTCTCTCATTCTCTTCTTCCCTTTTTCTTTTTCTCCTTCTACTTCTAATTCCCATTTACAAAATTATCTCTGCTAATTAGATAATCTATAGGTAATTATAATTGATTTACGTCTGTGTTAATAATTCATCGTATTTACCAGTAAAATATATTTATTCTATTGATGTAAGGTCTTTATCGTGTTGGGAATGTAAACGTTTGTTTGTTTTTGTTATATTAGCTTATAATTGATTTTAGAATGTGTTGTGTGTGCGGTGTGTGTGTGTGTGTGTGTTGATGTGTGTGTGTGTGTGTGTGTGTGTGAATAAGTGAGTGATGAAGGAGAGAATGAGAGAGAGAGAGACGAAGAGAGGGAGAGAGAGAGAGAAGAGAGAGAGAGAGAGAGAGAGAGAGAGAGAGAGAGAGAGAGAGAGAGAGAGAGAGACAGAGAGAGAAGAGAGAGAGAGAGAGAGAAAGAGAGAGAGAAAGAAAGAAAGAAAGAAAGAAAGAGAGAGAGAGAGAGAAGAGAGAGAGAGAGAGAGGAGAGAAGAGAATGAGAGAGAGAGAGAGGAGAGAGAGAGAGAAAGAAAGAAAGAAAGAAAAAGAAAGAAAGGGATAATTTTTGGTTTATATATGTACTCACTAATAAGTGACACACCTACAGCACAGATGTTTATACTTTTCGTAACAGGTAATCAAATTAATTAAAGTTATCTGCATATTTATCTCTGCTATCAATCAGCGGATGCGTGTAGGAGTCACGATAAAACAGGAAAATAAAAGCCTTTCAAAAAATAAATAAATAAATAAATAACGCAGCCAAACAGGAGCATTTATTAAATACAAAGAGAAAAAGGAAAAAAAAAAAACATTTGTCACTACAGATGCATGTAACTCAGAGGATTTACTGACTACGTATGAAGCCAATGAATGATTTGTCAGGTAACTACAAACGCAATCAGATAGAACCATTAAACCATTTATCAACCACAGCTACAAGCACACTCGCAACCAAATTAAACCACAAAAAACCACAACTACAATCAAATAAAAAAACACATGTCCAGCTAACTACAACCACAACCAAACGAAACGTCAACCACAAATGCAATCAAATAAAGCCTTGTTTCCCTAAATACACTCGCAACCAAATGGAATAATTTTTCAACCACAAACGCGCAAAAAATAAAGCCTTATTTAACTAAACTACAAACAACAAATGAAACCACTTGTCGACCACAAACGCGCAATAAAATAAACTTATTAACTAACTAACTACAAAACGACCACAAACTTAGGAAATAAAACGTTATTTACAACCACAACTAAAGGAAACCACAAACGACCACAAACTTATGAAATAAAACCTTGCTTAGCTGAATAAATTCACAACCAAATAGAACAACATAATGACAATTCACTTAACGGCTCTCATAACCGCAAGGAGAAGAAGAAGAAGAAGAAGAAGGAAAAGAAAGAAGAAGAAAAAAGAAAAAGAAGAAGAAGAAGCAGAAGAAGAAGAAAAAGAGAAGAAGGAAGAAGCAGAAGAAAGAAAAGAAAAGAAAGAAAAAAGAAGAAGAAGAAAGAAAGAAAGAAAAAGAAGAAGAAGAAAGAAAGAACTGAAAAAAGAAACGAAAAAAAATATAAAAAATCTGACAAAGACAGACCTGTTCAATGCCATAATGTGCTTAGAGCATCATTACCTAATTTGGTGAACAGGAAGCGTCAGGATACGGGAAAAAAATCGATTATGTAACCCGGTGTTAATGAAGGGTTCGATGAGACTGAATCTAGTGCTATAGATGTACGATCGAGGACTACAAACACTGCAGTACGTATTCTGATATCGGATCAGTCGGAGATCAGAATGCTTTTATCAGTCAAAGCTTCTCATGAAAATAGATTCGGAGGGAAGGGAGAGAGAGAGAGAGAGAGAGAGAGGAGAGAGAGAGAGAGAGAGAGAGAGAGAGAGAAGAGAGAGAGAGAGAGGAGAGAGGAAGAGAGAGAGAGAGAGAGAGAGAGAGAGAGAGAGAGAGGAGAGAGAGAGAGAGAGAGAGAGAGATGAGAGAGAGAGAGCAGATTCGAGAGCAGTGGCAGGAGAGAGAGAGAGAGAGAGAAGAGAAAGAGAGTAGGAGAAGGAGAGGAGAGAGACAGAGGAGCAGAGCGAGAGTAGAGGAGGAAAAAGAGAGAAGAGAGGGATGAGAGGGAGTAGAGTAGGAGACAGAGAGAGAAAGAATCGAGAGAGGAGAGGAGGAGAGAATAGAGAGAGAAGAGAGAGAGAGAGTAGAAGAAGAGGAGAAGAGAGAGAGAGAGAGAATAGAGAGAGAGCGCAGAGAGGAGAAGAGAGTAGAATGACTAGAGAGATAGTACAGTTAGAGAGAAAGACAGAGAGATAGAAGAAAAGAAAAGAAAAGAGAGAGAGAGTAGAATAGAGAGAAAGAGACAGAAAGTAGTAGATAGAGAGAAAGAGGAGAGTAAACATAGAGAAAGAGAGAGAGAGTAGAGTAGAATAGAGAGAAAGAGAGAGAGTAGAGTAGAATAGAGAGAAAGAAAGAGAGAGTTAGACTAGCAAATGTACAAACCCGACAAGATAACCAATTGGATGCCTAACTAACAGCCATTTCTCACCACTCTGACAGCCTTTTTGACAGCCCCAGGTTATCTAAGTCCACTTTGTGCTATCCCTCCTAAACAATCTCTCCTTGAAAGCTTTGACAACCTTTCCTAACAAATTAACTGACAGCCCTTTCCTTGACAGCCACCCCTTGACAAAATCTTTGACAGCCTTCTGAACAAGCTCTCTTACAAACGAGACTCAGACCATTGTCTAGCAAAGTCGAACTGACAGCGCCTTCTGACAGATTCCCTTGACAACTCTTTTGATAGCCATTATGACAACGTTTTCAAACCAACTAACAGCCGTCATTGACCATCTGCCAGTCCTAACAAAACCAAGAGAATACTCTTCTTGACAACCCATTTACAAAACCTTGACAACTCGCCCTGACAAACCCTCTTTGACAGCTCTCCAATTGACAACCATCTCAGCAAACCCCAACTAAAAAAAAAACCGTCCTTTACAAACGGTCCTTTGGACAACCGTACCTTGACAGCCAGTCCCTTGACAACCGTCCTTGCAAACCAGAACACCGTCCTTGACAACCAGTCCTTGCGCCAGTCCTTGACAACAGCCAGTCCTTGACAAGCCAAGTCCTTGACACCGTCCTTGACAACCGTCCTTGACAACCGTCCTTGACACAGTCCTCCTGACACGGGAACAGGAGGACCAAATCACTTAGTGACGGGCCTAAGTGTCCCCCGGGTCAGATAACGGCAGGTAATCCCCCTAATGACTCGAGTTCTGGAGTCGTCCTCGAGCCAGCGTGAGAAAAACTGTTGCCAATTCTGCTTGCTAATGACTCGAATGACTGCCGGTGTAATTTTTGTCCGGTGTGGAGTTATTGGAGGGTTGGTGGAGGGTTGGGGTTTGGGGTAGGTTAGTGAGGGGGGGAGGGGGGGGTTGGGGGGGTTAGGTTGAGGGGAAGGGTGTTGGATAGGGGTAGATTGTGAGGGGGAGGGGGTTGGGGGTTGGGGTAGATTGGGAAGGGGAGGGAGTGGACAAAGTCCTGGTTATTTCTCTCTCTCTCTCTCTCTCTCTCTCTCTCTCTCTCTCTCTTTCTCCGTTTCCTTCTTTTTTTTTTCTCTATTTCATGTTTGTTTATCTTTTGTATTCTTTTTTCTTTTCTTGCTGTCTTTTTTTTTTTTTTTTTTTTTTTTGCCTGTTTCCTTATTCTCCTCCTTCTCTTCCTTCTTTTCTTTTGATTCTGCTTTCCTATCCCATATATTCTTCTTGTGATAGTGTTGTAGGATTATAAGAAAAAAAAATATTAGTAGCCATTTTGTTTCTGGGAGAGGTTTTCTAAACGGATTAAAAATTCGATATTGATAAAAAAAAAAAAAAAAAAGCGAAGAAAAACCCAAAGGTGTTGTGTGTTGTCGTGTGCTGTGTGTGTGTGTGTGTGTTTGTGTGTGTGTGTGTGTTGTGTGTGATGTGTGTGTGCGTGTGGTGTGTGTGTGTGTGTGTGTGTGTGTGTGTGTGTGTGTTGTGTGTGTGTGTGTGTTGTGTGTGTGTGTGTGTGTGTGTGTGTGTGTGTGTGTGTGTGTGCGTGTGTGTGTGTGTGTGGTAGCCTTTTTCTGGAGAAGGATTTTTTGAACAGATTAAGAATTAGTGATATTGATGTGGGATTATAAGAAAAAAAAAAAGATTACTAGACAAATGAGGAATTAGTGATAACCAGTTAGGATTAACAGAAAAAAAGAGATTACTTTACAAAGGAAGAATTTCTGATAGTTAGTTGGGATTTACAGGAAAGAGGATTACTTAAAAGAAGAAGAATTATTGATGGTAATTTTGGATTTAAAGAAATGTGGATTACTGAACAGATGACGATATTACTGACAGACATTTTGGGATTTAGATAAAGAGAGAGATTGCTAAATAGATGAAGAAATGTGAACAACCATTTAGGATTTTATCTGCAGTTGGAAAAAAATGTGATTATCAGTTAGTATGAATAGAACAGGGTGATTACTTTACAAAAGAGGGGATTACTGAGACTAATTAGGGATTTAAAGAAGAGAGGGATTACTTAAAAGAATAATGACTGACAGCCATTTAGGTTTTTAAAAATGAGGGATTGCTAAAGAGATTTAAAAAATAGACAGCCATATGGGATTTTCTTTAGAAAGGGATTACTGGACGAAGCAAAAGAGACACATAATAGAAACATGAAACAAGAGATAATAACGAGGATATTAAAATAGTTACTTACTTTGTTGATTAATAAAGAATATGAAGCATTAGGAAAAAGTAACATTAAAACATTGTATGATAAACGGAATAAGTAGATTAGCGAGACAGATTAAAATTAAATGAAATAGGAGAAATAGAAGAAAGGTGTGTGGGCGTGTGAATAGATAAAGAATGAAATGTGATATTTAAACAAATGAATGTGCTAGATATCAAAGGTCATATAGAACTGAATATATGGAAGAGCGGAGAAAGAAATAAAGGGAGATAGATAGAAGGATGGATAGAAATAAAGAGAGCTAGGGCAGGTAGGTTAGGGAGGAGAGAGAAGAGAAGAGAGGGGGGAGGAGGAGGGAGAGGGAGAGGGGTATTTAGAGAGATAGAGAGGAGGAGAGGGAGAGAGAAAAGAAGAGAGAGAGAGAGAGAAGAGGAAGATAGTGAGACAGACAGAAAACAGAGACAAAAAATAGAGACAGAGCATAGAAAAAAAAAAAAAAAAAAAAAAGAAAAAAAAACAAACAAATAAAAAAGATAAAAGAAAAAAAAGAGCGTAAAAACAATCATAAGAAGAAAATGGCCCTTTGACATTAAAGGAAAAATTATAACGGCTTAACGAAGGAGTGAATTCATCTTTCAAGAGACACAATTTCACTCTACCTGTCACCCTAGACTGGATCTCAATAAAATATGTCACGGGTGAGTCAAGTGTGTGTGTGTGTGTGTTGTGTGTAAGGTGTGTGTGTCTGTGTGTGTGTTTGTTGTTGTGTGTGTGTGCGTGTGTTGTGTTTATCGTTTTGTGTTGTTGTGTCCTGCCCTCTCTCTTCTCTCTCTTTCTCTTCTCTCTCTGTCTCTCTCTCTCTCTCTCTCCTCCTCTCTCTCTCTCTTCTCTCTCTCTCTCTCTCTCCTCTCTCTCCTCTTCTCCTCTCTCTCTCTCTCCTCTCTCCTCTCTCTCTCTCTCTCTCCCCTCTCTCTCTCTCTCTCGTCTCTCCCTCCCTCCCTCCTCCCTTCTCTCTCTCCCCTTCTCTCTCCTCCCTCTTCTCTCTCTCCTCCTCTCTCTCTCTCTCTCCTCTTCTCCCCTCCTCTCTCTCTCCCTTCCTCCCTTCCTCCCTCCCTCCTCCCTCCCTCCCCCACCCCCTCCCTCCCTCTCCCACCCCCATCTCCTCTCTCTCTCTCTCCCTCTCTCTCTAAAAAAGGATAAGAAAACTCACGACGCCGAGGAACATCTCCCAAGACGGAGATCTACTCGAGGTACTTCTTCACTCATTCTCGAGTCAGCGTAAAAGCCATCGTGAATATTTCATGAATGGGCTGTCACCATTATTATAATGGGGTCTTTCTTTTCTTTGTCATTATAGGTAAGCGTGGGTGGAGGGGGGGAGGTCGTTTACGTGTGTGTGTGTGTGTGTGTGTGTGTGTGTGTGTGTTGTGTTCGTGTGTGTGTGTGTGTGTGTGTGTGATGATCGTTACCTGTGTTGTGTGTGTGTGTGTGTGTGTGTGTGTGTGTGTGATGTAGTGTGTGTGTGTGTGTGTGTGTGTGTGTGTGTGTGTGTGTGTGTGTGTGTGTGTGTGTGTGTGTGTGTGTGTGTGTTGTGTGTGTGTGTGTGTGTGTGTGTGTGTGTGTGTGTCCGATCGTATGTGTGTGTGTGTGTGTGTGTGTGTTTGTTCTGTGTGTGTGTGTGTTCTCCTTGCATCTACCAGTCTTCCTATATCGTTAACATTTTTATTATCTCTATAAAGTGACGTAAAAACGCAGCATATAAAATATGTTTAGAAATATGTTGTACACGTGTCCTGCATCAGTATGCTGTAACTAGAACCCTGTGACAGAGGCGAGAGAGAGAGGAGAGAGAGAGAGAGAGAGGGGGGAAGAGAAAGAATGAGAGAGAGAGAGAGAGAAAGAGAGAGGGGTGGGATAGAGAGAGAGAGGGGAGGGAGGGGAGAGGGAAAGAGAGAGAGAGAGAGAGAGAGAGAGAAGAGAGAGAGGAGAGAGAAAGAGAGAGGAGAGAGAGAGAGAGAGGGGGAGGGGAGAGAAGAGAGAGAGAGAGAGGGAAGGAGGGAGGAGAGAAGAGAGGGGGAGAGGAGAAGAGAGAGAGAGAGAAGAAAGAGAGAAAGAGGGGGGAAAGAGGGAAAGAGAGAGAGAGAGAGAGTAAAGTAGAATAGAGAAAGAAGAGAGGTAGAGAGAGAAAGTAAACTAGAATAGAGAGAGAAAAAAGGAGGGAGAGAACAATATTTTTTATCTGTAATGACCTAACCCATAAACAACAAAAAATCGAGTGCGGCATCTTCTATATTGTGTTAATTCATTTGCATATATCTGAGTATATCAAGAGACCTTAACAATATTCATCTCAAAATATTCATCTTTCTTCCTTCTTTTTCTTTCTTTCTCCCTTTCTTTCTTCTTCTTCTTCCTTTCTTTTCTTTTTCTCCTTTCTATCTTTCTTCCTTCTTCTCCCTTTCTTTCATCTTCCTTCATTCTTTCTTTTCTTTTTCTTTTCTTTCTCTTTCCTTCCTTTCTTCCTTTCTTTCTTTCTCCCTTTCTTTCATCTTCCTCCTTCTTTTCTTTTCTTCTTTTCCTTTCTTCTCTCTTCCTTCCTTTCCTTCTCATTCTTTCTCCATTTCTTCCTATTCTTCCTTTCCTTCTCCATTTCTTTCCTTCTTTCTTTCTCCTTCTCCATTCTTTCTTTCTTCTTTCTTCTTTCTTTCTCTCCCTTTCTCTCCTTCTTCCCTCCTTTCTTCTCTGTCTCTCTTTCCTTCTTTCATTTTCCTCACTCCCTTTTCCACACATTCGGAAACCTAATACCCCCTGATACCCAAAGAGGATTACCATATGGCGCTGAACAACTAAATATCATACACTTGTACACTATACACTTATACACTTATACACTTATACACTTATACACTTATACACTTATACACTTATACACTTATACACTTATACACTTATACACTTATACACTAATGTCTTGCAGGACGGGAGACCATGAATATTCGAGAAATAAAAAAACACTTGAGATTATTGCATGTGGAAT